GCAAAACATGGAGTACTTGTTTTGCTACTGGATATTCTGTCCGGAGGCGGCTTAGTTACATATCAGCGTGAGTAATGACGCCAGCGTCGGAGATCTATAAATGCAGGCGCCATCTGTGGTCATTCCAGCACCAGAAGATAGTTTCGCCATTTGAACATGCTACACGATGCCACCAATTTCCTATCTCTTCGCCTGCGAGTGGTGTTTGCGTCACTTTCGGCAGCGCGCAGCACTTGTGGCGCATAAGCTTCACAACCGCCAATGTCGTCGACAGAGGGCGCGAGTGCTGCGTTTTGGGCGTCGCTGGATGGCGCATCCGGCTGATGACACTAATGATGCTGCTGATGCTGGATACGACAGTCCGTCTCACGGCTCGGACGTTCATGACCCTTCACGAGCCATGGAGGTGAGAGGCAAAAACTCCTACTCCTGCTTGTGACAATCGGTAACTTATTCTGTTGCTGATATATTGTTGGCTGTTGTTTGTTCTGACAACATTACCCATTTCCGTGAGCAAGCAGACACAACGCAAGGGTCTGCGGCAGTAGGGGCGCCTGAGATTGAATCTGACGAGGAGGGCGACGAGAACAACGATGAGGACAGCGATGATTCGGTAGACGAGTCCGAAAGCGAAGATGACGAAACTACTGACTTTGACACCCTCCTGGAGATCTATCGGTTCATCGTTGGCTGCAACGGTGGTCGTGGTCTTACGGACAAGGGCGTCGCGTGGCTGTGCAAGATGTTGCGCGACCCCCGATTCAATCCCAGAGAGGTGCCGCGCTGGTGGTCACGCAATGCTGCGAATAAGTACGGGCTTGCGCTACTGATTGCACAGCGAGAATATGTGAAGAAGGAGTTGCATATCGAAGGCTACGATTACACCTTTGAAGTCCTCTGCACCGAACCTGTGGCTGTGAATATGCGTCGTTTGCATACCATTAGGTGGCTTGTGCTGTTGTATTTTCATTGGCTGATATGCAACCCTCCCATGGCTGAGCTTTGGTTCTGTATATGCGGGCTGTATTCACCAGCATAACCCCATGCAGGTGTGCATATAAGAAGCAGTACTCACATGCCATCCCTCCCTTTGACCCATCAGGCGGTGCTGGAGCTGTTTGGGCATCCCGATAATGCGGAGGGGTTCCAGCTCTTTGCACAGACTGTGAACTCCGGTGCTGGTAGGATCTACACCACCCCCTGGAGTGCAACCTTCTGGGAAGAGGCTTAGGTGTGTGCTTGCGCAGAGTGTGTGTCTTCACATCCACTATCAGTTACTTTCCTGGTTGCGCAGGTGCGCGTCTGACGTGAACACCTGCTACATATTTTGCATGCAGGACTGGCTGAACATCATGTTTGGGGAGGGACAGGTGGTTGCTCCAGTCATCATCTCGAGTGATGCAATTGTGCTCAGCGGGAATGACAGGGTCAAAGTGTGGGCTATCTACATAAGTCTCGCGAACATCCCTCTACGCCGTCGGTGGCTTGACACTGGCCGGGTGCTGCTCGCGCTCCTGCCGAACCCACCCTCAGACATGACGGGGGAGCAGAAGATGCAGTTGTTCCAGGAGGCCATGAAGCTCGTGCTTGCCGACCTCATTCTGGCCTCACACACGTAAGTATCATAACCCAGTGAGTGCCTTTTCTCCCTACCACAGCCGTGTCTCGATCTGAATTGAGTTGTTTGCTACGCACGTATATCAGTGTCTTAAGGTTCCTTGTGCTTGCTTCTCACCTGCTTGCTAGGACCAGGGTTGCGATATATGCTCAATGACATGCTGTTTACATCCCTGTACACCTGTATTATCCTTGGCACGGGTCTCGCCGCTAAGGATCCCTGGGGTGACGACCGATTCATCTGGCCGCTGCTGTTCTCAGTCGTCCCCGACTATCCGGAGACCTGCAAGGTCTCCTGTACCATGCAGCAGGGCAGCAGGAGGCCGTGCTCTCTGTGCTATGTGGAACGGGGCCATCTCCGCGACATGGATGCGGCGATGTCTGACAGTCGGACGGTGTTGCAGCAGAAGGACCTTATGGATGATCGTATCAAGGCACATGACTACTCGACCTTCCGTGTCGCAGTAAGCCAATTGTCTATCTGTAGATATTCAACCAGGTGTTTTTTCATCTCAGCTTTCATGTCGCCATAATTGCCGTTTGTTCAATGGTGCTTGATTGACGATACTTTTTGTTTGCGATCCCCAATGGTAGTTCTTCCGCTGGGATTGGAACTTTTCGATGATGCCGTGGGGCAACACCTTCCTCTCCATGATGCCGGAAATCCTTCACGTGCTGTACCTCGGGTTCTGGATCTACGTACGCAGCGTTTTGCGTGGCAAGGATAACCAGGCCGACAAGAAGGATTGGTGCGTGCCCATTGACTGTGCTCACCGTTCTATGATCACTGTGTTTGTGTAGATCATGCATGCAGGATTATGCTTGTGTTGGTCTCTGCTGCTGCTTATGTGTATGCTCACGTCGGTCTAAGCTGGTCCCTGCTTATGCTCTGGTCTATGCTGTTCCCTGCTGATGCTCTGGTCTATGCTGTTCCCTGCGGCTGCTGTGGTCAGTGTTGTCCGCTGTTGATGCTCTGTTCCGTGTTGTTTTGGTCCTGCTGGGTTGTGTGTTGTTCCCTGCTGCTTATCTGTTTCTGCGTCATGTTTCCTATTGTGCCTTGTTCTGTCATGTTCCCAGCTACTGCAGTCTTCCGTGTTTTCCATGGCCCTGCTTTGTACCAGCTGTTCCCTGATGGTGCTTTGTTATGTCGTGTTCCATGCTACTTCTTTGGTCAGTGTTTTTCCCTGTTGCTGCTTTGTAATTTGCAGTTCCATGCCGCTGATTTGTTCTGTGTTGTTCCCTGCTGCTGCTTTGTTCGGTGTTGTTCCCTGCTGCTGCTTTGTTCTGTGTTGATCCCTGCTGAAGCTTTGTTCTGTGTTGTGTTGGTGCAACCCTACGGTTTGCACTCGGCTTGTTGTCCGTGTGCGTGCATGCGTGTGTGCATGGAATGGAATGAGGGCATGAAATAATATATATTTCATGCTTATAATAGTGTGTGTATGATGGGTCATGATGTCGAGTGTGTGTGTCAAGTCAATAGCGAATTATCGCTAGTCGCGTGTAACGCGGTCATTCTGTGTGTCCCGCGCGGTTTCTATTTTGTCGTGCGCGGTTTCTATTTTGTCGCTTGTCGAACGTTCGGCGTGTCGCAGGTGTGTGCAGCAGACCCATCAAGAACTCAAGGATGAGTTTGTGATGAAGAACCCGAGCCCTGGTGTCAATATTCAAGTGTTCGCGAAGCTCGCCAAAAGGGTACACCTCAAGAAATTGAAGATAGTTACATTACTTTGTGTAGTGTAACATTTCACTTGGTGTAGACCCTAATGAAGGGTAGTTTCGAGACCCTTCGTGGTTGGGGATAGTGTGGCACTGTTCCACATCACTGTACCTCGGCTCTTGGGGTTTGTAGGAGCTGGGAGTCATTCCCAACTCGTAACTCTTGCTAACTCTTCCTATTGTGTGTTCTAAGACTATGTTGCTGCCATAGTGCCGTTCGTTCAAACCGACGCTGTGTCGTCAATAGTTGGTGAAATCGTGCGATCTAAATTGCCTGTTGTAGGCAACGTTAAGGCGCTCCAGATCAAAGTTGAATGAAGTCATTTGGAGTTGTGAGCAGATCGCTATGAACGTTTAAAGCCGCTGTGCAGAAATCCGACTGTGCAATCTATCTTACGTTTTAGGCACATTGGAGCCTACTGTGACTATAACATGTTGTTCCCTGCTGCTGCTTTGTTCTGTGTTGTTCCCGGATGCTGCTTTGCGATGTGTGATGCCATGCTGCTGCTTTGTTTTGTAGTTTTCCCTGCTACTGCCTCGTACTGTGCTATTACTTGCCCGTTTCCGGCTTGCACTATGCCCATGCAGCAAGTCGTCTGTTTGCACTGTTCTCTGCTGGTCGTCTTCAACTTGGACCTTTCTCTGTTACCTATCCATTGTCAAGGGCTGTTATCCGCTGCTCGTCTCCCGACAATGCTGTTGTGTGTTTCTGGTTTCCCGTCTTCTCATGCCCTATCCCATGCCCTACCCCATGCCTACCCCATGCCTACCCCATGCCTGCCCCATGCATACCCCATGCCTACCCCATGCCATACCCCATGCCTTACCCCATTCCAATATCAGGACTGAGGGGAGCCGGTACCAGCAGAAGAGCATGCACTGTATAATATACAGTGTATATGTACCTTATACGGGACACTGTTTATGTGGTTACCCCATGCCACGCCCTTCTTCATGCCAATATCAGGACCGAGGGGAGCTGGTACCAGCAGAAGAGGCGATTGAAGTGGCGAGAAAAGTGAAGGAGACGTATGGGTACACATGCTCCGACCTTGTCAAGGTGTGTTCGTCTACATCTCTGTGAGGAGAATGAAGGAGCGGGAAGGGGAGTGAAGGAGACGTATGGGTACACATGCTCCGACCTTGTCAAGGTGCATCCATCCACCCTGCATGTTTGCGTTCTCGCCTATCCTGCAAGCTTGTCCTCATACCAACACCTTCCCTCCCCCCCTCTATCTTCAGGTCTTCACCAAGCACGACAGGGAGCCATGCCATCCAGGTATGGCAAGGCAAGGTTTGGATGGCCACCAACACGGATTCGTGCTCCCCTCTCCCCTGCCTTCCACCCACAAGGTGACTTTTGAGTCGACTCAAAGGTCACCTCGCCACCAACACCGGTTCGTGCTCTTCTCTCTTTTTTTTGAGTCACCACCTCAAAAGTCACCGGTTCGTACTCCCCTCTCCCCTGTCCTCCACCCACACCCGTGCCCCGCCCGCAGGAGTTCACAAAGCACGAGAGGGAGCCTAATAAGTATCGCAAGGTGTGGACCGCCACCAATGCAAAAGCGCCCCTTCCGACGCAACCCCCCACTCCCTTCACACATCACCTCTCCCCTCTTATCTCATCCTTCGTCCCCATCCCCCCTCTGCTCAGGAGTTCACCAAGCATGACAGGGAGCCTTATAAGTACCGCAAGGTCTGGACCGCCACCAACGGTCATGTACTCATGCACCTCCCTCCCCCCCTCCACCTCCCTTCCCCCACCCCACCTCCTTCTCTCCCCCCCCCTCACCTCCCTTTCCCCTCCACCTACCTTTCATCAGGAGTTCACCAAGCACGACAGGGAGCCTAATAAGTACCGCAAGGTGTGGACCGCCACCAACGCGCGCACCAACACTCCTTACCGCTGCGACGTGGGGCACGAGCGGTTCCTGGCTGCAGAGGTGAGTGAGGGGATGCACGTGGGTTTAGAGTTCGACGTTTTTTAGGGTTTCGGGTGAAAGGTTTGGGGCTTGGAGTCTGGTTTGAAGGGCTCAGATCAGACCCCTATGCGTCAATGGACGGCCACCAACGCGCGCACCAACATGCCATACCACTGAGACGTGGGGCACGAGCGTTTCCTGGGTGCAGAGGTGAGTGAGGGGATGTCCTTAAGAATAGAAGATTGGGGTTGAATGTATCAATAGACCGCCACCAGTGAGCGCACCGACATGCTCTATCGCTGTGGCGCACGAGTTGTTCCTGGCGGCTGACGTGAGTGAGGGGAAGCGAGAGAGGTTAGGTTCGGAATTTCGAGTCTGGGCATTTGGGCTTTGGGGTTTCAGGATTGGGGTTGGTCTGATGGGCTCAGCACCCCCTCGTGTACCTCTTCACTAACAACTCTTCTCTAAGTTATCATCACTCCTCTCTGCTCGATCCACGTACAATCCCAACCCTCTCACTCCTCCCATCCCTCCCACCTTTCCTTCAACCCCTCAGGTTTCTGCTCACGTGCGATAGCAGTGAGCAACGTCTGCACGTCACTTTCAGAGCTAGTGGATGCAGCCGTGCGGACAGCTTCATAAGGCCTTCGTCCCTTTTCTTCCCTCTTCTTCCTTCTCTCCCTCCTTCCCTTCCTCAGGTCTTCTTCTCTTCTGATATCGCAGTGAGAAATGATGGCACATCGCTAGCAGAGCTGGTAGATGCGGTTGTACAGACTGCCCCTCTCCACTCTTCTCTGCTCCCCCTGTGTCTCCTGCTCCCTCCCTCTCCCACCTCAGGTCTTTTTCTCGCCTGAGATCGCAGTGAGCAACGTGGGCACGTCACTGGCAGAGCTGGTGGATGCTGCCGTGCAGACTGCTGCCATTGACACCAGGCGCTCGCTATACAAGGTGGGTGCTGTGTGGGCGTGTGCCTTATCTCTTTGGGAAACACCTGAAAAGGTGATCCCTGTGGGATGCAGCCATGCAGACTGCCGCCATTGACACCAGGCGCTCACTCTACAAGGTGGGTAGTGCTGTATGCGTGTGCCTCACATGCACCTTACTGGGAAACATGAGACGAGCAAGCCAGTACCAATGGGCTGCAGAGCTGGTGGAGGTAGCAGTGCAGACTGCCGCCATTGACACCAGGCGCTCACTCTACAAGGTGGGTGGTGCTGTGTGGTTAACTGCAAGGGGAACCATGCAACATTACAGGAGACAAGGGTGTGTGAGACAAGGGGTGCTCCCCTTCTGTACTACTGCAATACCCCAGCCATCCCCCGCCTGTGCAGTCTGCTGCCATCCCTTAACACATGGCGCTCGCTCTACAAGGTAAGAGAGTGTCTGAATGTGTGTGCCTCAGCTGTTGGGGGGACCATGAGACAAGACAAGGTAATCCCTGCGTGTGCCTTGTCTCATGGTCCCCTTGTCTCATGTGTCTGCCTAAGCCTCACCTGATCCAATCAGTCTAGACTGCTGTCATCGGTACCAACTAGGTGCCTTCTTTGAAAGACGTGTCTTTGTGAGCGATTTCTGAAATTTCTTAAATATCGCTCCAGACTGCTGCCATCGGTACTACCAGGTACCCCCTTCGAACGACGAGTCTCTCTTGGATCCATTTCCTTGGATCCTTGCGCGCATCAGTTCCCTGGGCTGGCCAGTGTTGAGACTACGTGCGTTTTCCTCGGGATGTACGCACGCACGAATGTGTCCATCTTCCCCTGACTTGTGCACACCAACCCTCGTGTTGCATGTAGAACGTCAAGCTATCAGGCGAATCTGAGCGGCCTTTGCTTCTTCACCCGTGTCCATCCATACTCGTCTCATACCCTTGCCTTGCCCCCCATCTATTCAAGAGAACATCGTGCTATCACCTGGATCAGCCATGCTATCACCTGGATCAGCCATGCTCAAGGACTTCGACCAATAATTATGTCAGATCCCATATCCCGCCTTTTGTATATCTCTTCAACTACCTTTCTCTCTCCAACTCCCGTAGAACATTGTTCTCTGAGGCGGATCCACCATGTGCAAGGACTTTGAGAAATCGTTCTGGCCAATCCCTCCCTTTGTCTGTCTGTCCAACTCCCACAGAACAATGTTCTATCAGGCGGCTCCACCATGTTAAAATCGCTTTTGAGAATTCTCAAAAGCGATTTCAACATAGCTGACATGCAGAACAATGTTCTATCAGGTGGATCCACCATGTTCAAGGACCCTGGGCGGCAGTTGCTTGTGCACCTGTGGTTCATCGTTGACTCGGTGCCTTGCTGCCTGTCTCCTATCAAATGAACCTCCCCCCCTCCCTTTAAGAACATTGTTCTGTCAGGCGGATCCACCATGTTCACGGACTTTGGACGGCGGTCGCCTTCCTGACCATCCCTGCCTCTGTTAAGGCCATGCGCTGCCCTTTTTCTTTCTTCCCTTCATCTCCCACAGAACATTGTTCTGTCAGGCAGCTCCACCTTGTGCAAAGACTTTGGGCGGCGGTAATTGCTACTTCTCACCCGTGCTATACTCGCATCATACCCTTGCCCCCATGTATCCCACAGAACATTGTTCTCTCAGGGGGGTCCACCATGTTCAAGGACTTTGGACGGCGGTTGCAGCGAGACGTGAAGAAAACTATCGAGGCCCGGATGGCTGGGTCTAGCGAGGTGCGCTTGTGGATGGCTGGGTCTAGCGAGGTGTGCTTGTGGTGGGATGTGCTTCTTGTGAGGTGTGCTTATACTGAGGTCTTGTAATGAGGTGTGGCTAGCGGGTGGTTAGAGAGATGTGAAGAAAGCTATCAAGGCCAGGATGGCTGGGTCTAGCGAGGTGCGCTTGTAGTGGGATGTGCTTTTACTGTATTGTGCTTCTAGTGGGGTGTGGGTATAGTGAGTGAGGTGCTGCTACCATGTTGTAAGCGAGACATGAAGGGAGCTCTTGAGGCCCGGATGGCTAGATCTGCTTGTAATGAGGTGTGCTTCTAAGGAAATGTGCTTCAAGTGGGGTGTGCTTCTAGTGAGGTGGTGCTATCACGTTGCTAGCAAGGCATGAAGAAAGGCCAGGTTGGCTGGATTTGCTGGATCTGCCTCTAATGAGGTGTGCTTCTCGTGAGAAATGCTTATTTCGAGGCTTATAATGGCATGAGATTTGAAGAAAGCCATTGGGGCTAGGATGGGTGGATCTCTTTTCAATGAGATGCTTATAGTGAGCTGTGTCTATGTCGAGTTGTGCTCATAGTGAGGAAGTGTGATTATAGTGAGATGCACTTGTATCGAGTTGTGCTTCTAGTGAGTGAGGTATGTGCTTGTTGTGAGGTGTGGTGTTGGCGAGCTATGACGAACCGAGCGAGGCCATCATGGATGGATCTGCCTGCTGCAAGTAAGGTGTGCTTGTTAAAAGGACTGCTTATAACAGGTGTGCTTACGGCGAGGTGTGCGCATAGTTACAAATGGTTGAGTGAGGTGGTACTCATAGTGAGATCTACTCATAGAGATGTGCTCATAGTGAGATGTCCTCATATTGGGTCTTTATTGTCAGATGTGCTTTTACTGAGATGTGCTTACAGTGAAGGTTGGGTGTGTTTCATCACGTCATGCACACGCCATTCCCACTCCTCATCCCGCCCTCCCTCCCATTCACTTCATGAGCAGGCTGTCTGGTCTGGATCAGTCTCACTTCTAGTCCATTCCCCTTCCCCATTCCCCTTGACCAAGCATCCCAACGCATTAAACACAGAGGTCACAGTGGTTCGGGGGCGCACCTGCTCTCCCTGTACAGCCCAACGCATCGGGGTGGCTATGGCGGACACCACCTGCAGGAGCGTGCTGTCTGGTTCGGGGGCTCTCTACCCACCTTTCTTTACTGCCTTCCCCCACGTGCCCCTCCATCCGCCCCACATTACAGCCCAGCGCATCAGACATAGAGGTGGCATTGGTGAAACACCACCAGCAGGAGCACACAGTCTGATTCGGGGGCTCACTCATCATCTCAGTACTGTGTCCCACCACCTGCAGGAGCACGCTGTCTGGTTCGAGGGCTCTCTACCCACCTTTCCTTACTGCCTATCCCCCACGTGCCCCTCCATCCTCCCACCCTTACAGCCCAGGGCATCGGACACAGAGGTCACAATGGTCTCACTCACACCATCTGCAGGAGCGTGCCGTCTGGTTCACAGTCTCACTTCTCACCTTTTCTATCGTCTACCGCCCTCCTCCCCCTTCACCCTCTTCCCCTGTACAGCCCAAGGGATTGGACATAGAGGTCGCGGTGGTCTCCCACCATGTGCGGGAGCATGCCGTCTGGTTCAAGGGCTCTGTTGTCGCCTCCTCCCCGGGTTTCCAAGGGATAAGCTCTGTGTCTGGTAATCCAGTGTGTTTAGTTGTCGTCTCGTCACCGGTTTTCCAAGGAGTGAGCAACATCACCATGCTTCAGATTTCTCTTTATATCTTTTGGTGGTCTCCTCCTCTCCAAGATGACAACGATTTGGCAGAGGCTCAAATTGTACCCTGTTTGCCTTTCCATCGGTTTCGTTGTCAACTTTTTCTTTAGGCCATGTAGGTCTTGTTCTCTGTTTGGCATCTCTCTTTGTGCATCCCGCACCAGGTGTGCACCACACGGGCTGCTTATTGGAGCATGGACCTGTGAAGAAATGAGGAATGAATGAACTAGCAAGAAGGTGGGTACAAGTAGGAAAACCTAAAAGTGTTGTACCCCATATTGTCTACCCCACTACAGCCTACACAGACTATAGCATATGAGTTTGACACACCCCCATAGGCAAAGTGGGGGAGAACAAGAGGTCACAAGACCAGTCAAGCAAAGCAAAGCAAACTCAGGGTGGATCACAACGTCACCACACATTCCGAGCACAAGTTCAAGGCCACAAGGCCAGTTCACATGCAAGTTCATATATAAAGGTAAACAAGCAAGTGCAGGTATAGAAAGATCACAGTACAAGCAAGGTCAAGAAGTGAGCAAGTGAGGCCAAGTAGGCACAAGACCTAGCATCGTACAGAAGCGCTGATGATCACAAGGCGGAAGTGCCTTGGTAAAGATATCAGCAGTGTTGGCCTCAGAGGCCACGTAAGCAAGGCGCAGCTGACCACGCTGCTGCAGCTCACGAGCAAGGAAGTAGCGAAGAGCAATGTGCTTCGTTCTGTGCTCCCGACACAAGGCCAGCATGGCCTTGTTGTCTACGTACAGAACTGGAGGAGAACGAGGCGGTGCTCCTAGGTCAGTCAGCAGGTAGGTGAGCCAGCGTAGCTCCTGTGCAGCCATGGCCCCCGCGTAGATCTCAGCCTCACAGCTGGAGCCGAGAACAGAAGACGAGCGGGTAGACCGCCACGAAACAGAGCCGGAACCAAGGCTGAAGGTGTAACCCTGTGACGACCGCTGCGTAGCCTGGTCGTCAGCCCAAGAAGCGTCTGCGTGACCTGTGAGGACCACTGGACGTCGCCCTCCAAGCACTAGCCCCATGCCCGACGTACTGCACAAGTAGCGCAACACCCTCTTCACTGCAGCCATGTGCTCTGGTCGGTGTCTCCCAGGAGCAACATAACGTGCCAAGATGCTAAGAGGGTATGCAAGGTCAGGTCGTGTGCAGGTCATCAGGTACATGAGGCAGCCAACAAGCTTTGGGTACGGGCCACTCGGCTCTACGGACTCATCCGAAGGCAGAGCTGAGAGCGAGTGGCGAGTAGACAGAGGAGTGGCCTGAGGCGAGGAGTACGTGAAGTCGAAGCGCTGAAGGACCTGCTGCACCATGTGTGACTGAGTCAGGGTAATGGTGCGCTGTGCTCTGTCCCGGGTGATCTGCAAGCCAAGGTAGCTGCGCAGTTCACCCAGGTCTATGCACGTGTGTCTCTTCTGCAGCTCGGACTTCACGTGGGCGAGTTCAGCAGTGGCAAAGACCAAGTCGTCGACGTACACGAGGATGTAGAACGGCGGCAAAAAGGAGTCGGTGCGCAGAAACAGTGACGGGTCGGCAGTAGAAGGAGCAAACCCAAGAGCCGCAAGTGTAGTCCTCAGTGTGTCGTGCCACTCACGGGGCGCCTGGCGGAGACCGTAGACTGGCCGCCGGAGGCTCCACTGGGTACCAGGGGGAAACGACCCAGTGAAGCCAGGTGGGCGGTGCAGCCAGATCTCCTCGTGCAGGCTGCCCTGCAGGAAAGCTGTGCTGAAGTCAAGAGAGTGAAGCTCGTAGTCGCGCTGAGCGGCTATGTGCAGCAGCACCCGAAGAGTGGTCATCTTCGGGGTGGGAGAGAAGGTCTGAAAGTAGTCAACTCCCTGCCGCTGACTGAAGCCTCGAGCCACGTAACGCGCC